TGGCAGTGCTAATCCTTATCACTAGGCCACAGAGCTCACCTTACAGCTCATATAAGTACCTAATAATATGACTTTAAAAATTTAAAATAAAATTTTTTAAAATGGCTAACTCTGTATCTGTAACTGTAGACTTTAACATAGTTTTTGCAATAGCTAAGATATAATAGATTAAGAAATAAGCTAGGATATAATGTAATAACACAAAAATACTAAGTTTATTTAAGAAATACTCTGGACTATATATAGTACAGGCATTAGGCCACAAAAGATAATCCAATAAAGTCTCAAGAATCTACATAATATATGAACAAATTCTTAGAATATAATAAAATAAAATTAAAAGTCAGTGGCCAAAAAAAAAAAAAGGTTTAAAAATCATGAGAAACTGAAAGAGTACAAGAAATAAAAACTAATTCTAAAGAATACATAGGTTAAAGAGGATTACTATAAAGGAAATTGCATAATACTTGTTGCTGTTCTGTACTGTAGAGTTGGAACCGACTCACAGCTGATCCTCCTCTCTGGTGGGTTTTCAGAAGCAGTTAATCACACAGGAAGAGATTGCTCATCCTTCTCCAAGGGGTAGCTGGTGGCCTTGAAACATTTCCCTTCAAGATTGTAATGCAGCTTTTTTCTATTAGTCCACCAGAATTATCATGAAAAGTGGTCTGTATCAAATTTAAAGTAAGCTCCTCTTAAAGTAATGCTTAGGATTTGCACAAAAAATGTTGAATGAGAATCTAAACTATTGTGTAAATATCCATAAAAAATAACTTAAAAATTAGTATTTAGTGGATTTTTTTCCCTTTGAATACATTTATTTTTTAAAATCAACTTTATATTCAGTGGAAAAGCAACAAAAGAATGGGATGCAAAGCCCACAGGATGAGTATCTACAGTGGACAAATGTTCAACCAATCAGAGCTCTTCAAATTGCAGCGTTTGAAAATCTATTTAAACTCTAATACCCTCATGAATAGGTATGTCATTGTTGGTCAAGTTGCTTACTTTCCCTAATCTTCAAGTTACTATCTATAAACTGAAGATAACTAACTGCACTTAGAAAGGTGCAAAACTGGTATAAGACTAAATGGCCCTACAACCTGGAGAGGGTAAAATAGATGAGTGGGACCTTCTAAGAATCAAATTCCTATGCACATTCAAAAACTTCTCCAACAGGGTAAAAAGGGAAGCCACAGATGGGGGAAAAATATCTGGTAATAACATGCCAGATAATGTCCTTGATGGGTTTGCAATTTCTTTTAAATCAAGTTGCATATTATAAATTTATCAATGATAGTTTCTTCTTTTATTCATTATTCCAAATCAGAACTCAGTACCATCCAGTCAATTCTGAGAGTGACTCCTCCAAAGGCAGCCATAGCAATTCACTTATTATATTCTATTCTGTTTCTCTTCTTCCTGAAAATGAAAACTTTCCCTAACCAATATTCTGATTAAACATAAGATCTTAAAAACTTTCTCCTTTTTCCTCAGGTATGTCTGCCCAATGTCCATTCATTTCTTTTTTTACTTTGAATTAGAATGTAATAATACATAGCAATATATTACTACATATTTTTGTTTTCTTCTCTTACAAAAGAATTTACTTTTATTCTCCTTCCAGAGTCACCAATACCCTGTTTATAATAATGTCCTCAATTCATCTTCAGAAAATGTTTATGTGTAGAAATTGCTTATTATGCTAATTACATAAATGTGTTTATATTTTAAATTATTTTTATATGCTAGACACTAAAAGCAAAATTATCTTGGACTTTGGGGCAGAATAGCTTTGGTAAAGCTATTTCTGTTAGTGTTTCAGGCTAATTTTTTCCCTTCAAAATAAGGAAACTATGATTCTCTAGGTTTAAATATTTAAATACTATTATTTATTGACAAATTTTCATTCTCTCTGTTGGGACTATACTGTTGAGTACCTCTCAAAATAGTACAGACTGTGACCTTCAAATAATAGGAATTTTTAAAGTAAAAGGAGAAGGAAAGGTTTTTATGCATGGTTTAGCCTGTAACCCTGGTTCTCCTTTTTTGCTGCACCTGGCCAGGATTCTTTACTCTTTTCAATTTCTTTATAATTTTCACAAAAGCTTGACACAAACATGACACACACTATGGTTATTACGCCTCATCATTAAGATTATTGAGGATATAGGATGGGACAGACCGTGTATTCTAATATAATTGTTCACTTAGGACCCTACTCTAGCTAGGAGTGGAATGCAACAAAGTTCAAATACTGCTTAAAATATTTTTACATTTTAACACTGATCTTTCTTTTTCTAGAAAAGATAAAATTCCAAAACTCTAAAACAACTTGTCACTACAGAAAAGGGCTATTGTGTTGCTTTGGGTTTTTTTTTGGGGGGGGGGAGTAGGAATTTTATTTTATTTTTTTTTAATTTAGGTTGTTTATTTTTCATTTCAATGAACATCTACAGAGATTTTGGGATTCCATTCATTCATTGTTGCAC